GATGGGATTGATTAAGAACATTTTGTTTTGGCAAGCGATTTGTTGGCTGGGAAAGGTATTTTGGTCTCGATCATTCTAATGTCCGTTTTCTTCCCTTGGCTTATTCAACTTTCAAAGACAAAGATTGCTGTTTCGATTTTAATTGATCTTGTAAGTCTGCCGACCGGGTATTAACTGTCACTGGAGCTTGTTCTCGCTTCATGCAACATATTTCCCATCATGGCTTACATGTTGGCTCAGCACAGCTCACACACTTTCTAAAAGGTAAACTCAGAAAATCAAAGAAAGATCAAGAAATAAAAGCAAAAATCGATATGCAGCAAGGGCAGAAGAACGTGCTTAAGCACAGTTGTACAAAATAAAACTCGAGATAGCGGCAAGTTCCCTTCCAACTCTCATAATAGGCCGTTGACTTGAACCGGTCAATGAATTCTTAATGTAGCCATACAGTGAGCAATAAATTATACAAGTAGCTGACCGCTCAAAGCCACTATGAATACGAGTATACTCGCACATACCTGAAAGACAAATGTGGAAATGTACATGAAACGGTTTGTAGTAGGGAATCGAGTGAAGGAAGTGGAAATGCATGCACAGGTGAGCCCCCATCTCGATTCTACAGGGCGCACTAAAACAAAGCAGGAAATCAAAGACCGGAAAATAATACTCGCATACTTGTTCTGCTGAGAAGGAAAAGCGCAGTCGCAAAGCTGTTAGTAGACATTTCTTGGCCAAGCGCAAACAACCTTTCCTTCCCGTCCCTCATCTTCTTCCTATACGGGTACATAATTTGTGTGCATTAGCACAAGTGTCGGCGAAGCTGGAAGTAAGTAATTGCCGAAGGCTCTGAGCCGTAACCCCTGCGAAGACTATGGGTAGATCGGCTACCTAGAACAGAGTGCGAGCACAACAGGTGAAAACAACTTTTGTGGCTGGCAGCGACGACTTCAGATTCAAATCAGTCTAGCATAATGTTATGACGGCGTGAAGATAATAAAACTCTTGTCTTCGTTTCCTGCTCCGAACATTGTCGCCTGATATTCGATTAGTTGCAGTTGGTGGCGTCTTATCAGTCTGATTTCAACTGACAAACCAATCAAGTTTAAACAATGGAAGAATGGCGTTTAAAGCGCTTAAAATAAGACTATTCGGCCTTACGTTAATAGTTCAAGCGATGTTTAGAGAAATATTTTGTTGGTGGTGCATATGTCAAATGAAATTACATTACAGCTAAAATATCACTATTGGAAAATATACAAGTATATCCACTAAGACGTTGACCAAAACTAGAAATCGATTTTCTACATTTCATAAACATTTTAAGCTTAGCTTATATTATTTTTTATTTGATGGTTGATGCATCTATTTATCTAGAGAACCCAGCTTATGTACTTTCTGATTCTAGTTTAGAAGATTTTTATATTTATAGCCGTCTTACCAATAAAAAACTTACACACTTGCCAGAAATATACTACGGAATATTATATAATCCAAAGTGGCAAAGCGTCTGAACATGGGAATAGGCCTGGTTATGGCAGTACAAACATTTCCCTTCCACCAAATATTTGAGCCACTTGAGGCTCTTCGATAAGACACAATATGTATATACTACAAGTATATGGCTAAAATTTTCTACACGACTGCCCATCAGGTATCATGGAGTGTTTTCCGCATTCAAAAGCCAAACTGCTTACAGATTTGAATATCTCGAATATGCCATCGCAATGCAAATGTTGACTACGGGCAGTACTGATAGTACGGGGGACTTACTATTATCAAAGCCCAATACTCGAATCTAAAGTCCCAACAAATTGCGACATAACATAGTACGAGTAGTATGTAGGCTGCAAACATAGGTATATACAAGTAAGTACTTAGATAAGTATACGGCAAACATGCGATTACGGGCCAACAAGACTTCTCTAGTATCTAATAAGATTGAGTTACAATAGGTTGGGCAGCAAGGAGCATGCGTAGGCGCTGCTTAAGCCCAAACAAAGCCAGCCAGATCGTATGGCACATACATCTATTCGTGTCTCAACTGCCACTTGTTTTCCACTTGGTTAACTTACATGATTTTGACTTGTCAGCGACAAATGCCAACGCTACACTTGTTGCAGATCGTCGGACCAAAACGCTGGACATATAGTAAGCGACTGAACCGTAGCTGTGGTCTTACCTTTGAACTACTTTATGGCTTCAATTACCCGCTCACAGATTGGTGTTATAAGCTTAATTATAACCATTTCACCTGCCAACTCGAACGCAACTATGTCAAGAGCTCCAACTCCTCCTCTCAAGCCGTGAGCTGTGTTAATATTATTATTGTAACAATAATAGCAACAACAGCAGCAGGAACAGCAACAAGACCTGCGATACACCCACAAAACTCTAATTATATTATTTGACAGCACAACAGCGCAACAGGCCAGCTTTATACGTTTATACTTGTACATACATATATAGTACTTGTATATATTTGGCCGCAAGCTACAACTAAAACAACAACAGCATTCATCTGCAGCCAACAAATCTTGGTGAAAATCATAATGGGTATTGTTGTTGTTGTCGCTGGAAAAATCTTTCATTTCTTTTATTTTTTTGTATTTTAATTTAAAGTCAAGCGCGCAGTGTCGTCAAGCATGACAGCAGCAATCAAAATGATGACAAAAAAATCTCCGAGGAGGGGCCTCAGGCCTAGACCGGAGCAGAGACCAAAGCTACAAGTAGCTGACAGCTTTGGGAAAATGCGTTGTGGAGAAGGGTCTACGGCTCGGGCTTGGCTGTTGCTCAGGTCTTGACTCGAGATCTCGACGCGGTGTTTCGGTGGCAAAGTTTGACAGAAAAAGTGGCCAACATTTCTTTGGCTTTGCTGTTGCTAAATTCTGTTAATTGTTTTATCGCATTTGTGTGGGTAAATTTGTACAACAAAAGCTGAAAAGCTACTCGTACAAATACTTAGTATGTAAATGCAAGACCCCTGACGCAGAAGAAATGGAATTATTATCATGAGAACGTTGCATGTCAAGCTGCGACTTAATCTCTGTCAGCATCGAAACGACGCAGTTTGTTTTCTTTACGACTTGAAGCCCGGAGCTGGCGAAAAACTTTGCCAAGTGTTGGGCAAGAGTTTCCAAATGGGGTTTATGTGGTTTTTGTGTAACAGCTTTGAAAAAATTTGGCAAGGTGTCGTCTTAACACAATTTCTCTCCATCCTATGGCCTCTACAAATGGCTATCATAAATTTCCAGCACACTTCAGACAGACTTAAGTGTATAAGTTCGGATATGCATGCATATACTTTTTTTAATACTAATAAATTTGAAGTCTGAATGAAGTTTTAAATAAGACAGCGCTTGCGTTCCATGAATACTCTTAAATATAAAGCGCAGTATATTTATTTCAAAGTTTAAAATAAACCAAAAAAGGGAAGGGAAAAAATCCTTTGGGATCTTTTAATAACAGCAGTTACTTTCTCAATATTTTCTAATATCTATCAAGGTGACACACACTTAACATAAGAAAATAAAGCGTTAATAAACCAATAAGAGAGCTTTAAAAACGAAGGATCGTAAAATGCGAGCAGCGCTCATACAGACTCGCTTCAAGTTCTGCCGTGAGTCCTTTGAGCAAGCAGGCAGAGGCCGTGAGCAGTTGTGGGCAGGCGGCAGAGGCCGAGCGCTGTTTCGTGCCAGGCAGGCAAACACAAGTACTATACATATGTATGTGGGATTTGTGAAATTTGTATGATGGTTTGTACATACTTGAATACTATATATTTTAAAGCGGAAACTTCGCGATGAAAGGAATCGCACATAAGGGGGGAATATGTAGAAACCAAGTTGGAAATGACGTATTAATAAATGTTTATTCTCATGTAGAGTTATTCATTTCTTAGATCTCATGATACTTATACACATACATACTTGTATGTAAATGCATATCTCGGGTGAATCCCACTAGCATTACGCATTTCCATTGTACTTGTTTATCTTGGTTTTGCGTAAATGCAAATAAAAATGCCTGTGTAGATGGTTACATGTGGATGTGGTTAACCAACGACAACCTCAGGCTTCATAATTATCTGCCCATGCACTTATCTCTGGAAAAGTCTAGACCAATCCAATGTGGCTATATTTAAATGCACACGAGTATTGCACTTCCACTGATAAAAGTCATTCAACTCGATGTGACATCCTTGAGAATTGGTAGACATCACAACATTGTGTTGCCATTTTCTCAACTTTTGTGCTGGACAACCACTACAGCTCAACAACAGTTAGCGCTGCACTAACTTGGCCTAAACAAACTGTAAATGGCAGAGTTGATTTGAGTGATTAGCCATAGGAGGCGACTCCATTACGGAGACTGCTTCAATCGAATTGAAATTGCTCGAATAATTGATTCGAATTGAGCCCAGTTGGTTTTTGTAATGCCCCAGAGTCCGAGTACATGCCTTTTGCCAAATAAAACAAAATGTGTATATTCGCAAATGCGTTTGCCCGAATGCAGATGTCTCTGGCTCTCTCAGATAAGCCCGACGATAACGGCTCAGACATAAAAAGTTATTACTTGTATGTACATACACATGTATATACTCGTAAGTAAATTGTCCAGCGCATGAAAATTAAATTAACTTGTTTACGTTTACCGGCCACACATTAACCAAGACGGTGCCCAACTAGTCCAAGCCCGTGCCGGCCTGAGCCGAGCCCATGTAGCTGCTGTCCATGTTCGAGATTTACGTCCACATTTTGCAATGATGTTTAATAGATTTCATTCAGTTATTTCTATTTTTTTCTTCTTTTTTTTGTGACCAAGTAAGCTGTCATAATGGCGGTGTTATGTGTGGCCATTATATAAAATTTCACTTTTCGCATTCGCGACGACAGCCACACGAAAAAGGCTCGTTTTTCCACTGGACAATTTTGTAATTTCCTAAATTGCGATCTTTAGCATTATATAGTATATACTTGTGTGTGTCTAGAGTGTACAACAACTTTAACTGAAATGTGCTGCGATGGAAAGTTTTTATTATTCAATCAAATAAACTAAAGCAAATCAGAAGCAACTGTCAATGCTGGGCAGATAGCCGCTGCAGTAGTGCCAGGTGGACCAAGCGGTCCAGCCCTGCTGACTGAGGACCTTCTGGGCACACCTGACCGAATTCGTAATGTCTTCGGTCAACAAGGAGTTGCAGCTCATACCACAGATGTTGTGGGAGAAGCGGCCGTTGGAAGGCTGGCACCAGTAGTAGTTGTTGATCTGGAATATGCCGTAGTCGTTGCTTCCGTCCGAGTTGCTTGGGCCCACAACCCACGTGCGATAGCTACTTTCATGCTGGGCTATGCACGTCCAGCGGGCAAGTTGATCCCGAGGCACCCCCAGCCTAGACATCTCACGAGCCAGAGCACATCGATCCATGGTACGACCGAAAGCCGGTGCGGCTAAAGCCAAAGTTAGAAGAATACATGTATACGTGAGATTCATATTGTCTTGATCATTTGCCTTTGGAAGGCTAAAAAACAATATTGAAGTATCATTGCAGTTCATCCTATTTATAAGTGAGAATATTCTAACACTAATGAACCACTCGTACTTACCAGCTACGCTTAAAGATAATGAATTTGAATTTGCATTCAAAATAAGCTGAAAACAAGAGAAATTCAAATGGGATAACACAATCAGCTCAGCTAACAGTAGACTAGTTGCTAATAGATTTTTAATGACAGTAGGTCGATGTTTTTGAAACGTTTTCAAAATCTGCGTCCATGAATGGGCGGGAATATCTTCTTCAAAAACATATTTAAAATAAGAATAACCCCCCAATAAGAAAAGTCAGTATAGTTTTGCTGAAAATGTTTATTTTTTATGTCCAATTGGTTCAGACACCACAAATTTAGAAGCAGCTATCAATGCTGGGCAGAGAGCCGCTGCAGTAGTGCCAGGTGGACCAGGCGGTCCAGCCCTGCTGGCTGAGGACCTTCTGGGCGCAACGGACGGAGTTGGTGATGTTGTCGGTCAAGAGGGCGTCGCAGCTCATGCTGCACTCGTTGTAGGAGAAGCGGCCGTTGGAAGGCTGGCACCAGTAGTAGTTGTTGATCTGGAAGATACCGTAGTCGTTGGAGCCGTTCGAGTTGGTGGGACCCACAACGCCGGTGCGGTAGGAGCTCTCGTGCTCGGCAATGCAAGTCCAGCGGGCGAGTTGGTCACGGGGGACACCCAAGGCGGACATCTCCTGGGCCAAGGAGCAACGGTCCATGGTGCGACCGAAAGCGGGAGCGGCCAAAGCCAGGGCGACAAGAACGATGAAAGCCTTCATGGTAGTTAGTTCGGATTACTTTAGGAGTAAACTGATGACAGGAACCCCAGCTTTTCCTCTTTTATAGCAAGTCGCTTCGCCACTTATCTAGATTTAAGTGCAGCAATCGAAAATGACGCGTGTCGTAAGGGACTTAATTCTTAAGGGTATGTAACTGATAAAGGTTACGAATAATGAAAAGTTTAGGCTAAAGGCTTCAGAACTGTAATAGTTATCACAACAACAGCATGCAAGAATTACAAAAGATGGTATAATAAACAAACCTGGTATCCATTACTATATGTGTGTACAGAGTTGAACCAAAACAGTAGCAAAATCAAGAGACGGGAACCGGACTGAGAAAACCTAAGCAGAGGATAATTTGAGTAAACAAGATAGAACGCTACAGTCGAGCAAGCCCGACAGTAAAATAGCCTGTACTCTCCACAAAAAGGAATAATTAAAAAAAAAAAAATTTTTTAAATTAAATTATTAAACAAAATGAATGAATTAATTAATTAAAATAATTAATTTAATTAAATTAGAATACATGTTTATGTTCAGTTTAAACAGCATACATTTACATCACGTACCTATGCGTGTTTATATGCGTGTATGTATGCAGCACAAAGTTGAACAAAAGCAGCAACAACAACAACAGCTGCGGGCAGCGCTGCCGACAGAGCTGCAGGCAGCGCATGAGCAGCGATTTTACTTATGGCTATAACTTTCTTCAGAATTGACCTATCATGATGAAATGGCACACGGACACATTAGTACTAACTGGATGTACCTACCAAAATTGATTTTAAAATTCCGAGAATTACGGAAGTTATAAGAAAAAATACGAATTGCGGGGGAGTGGGGGGGTGTATCACAAAAAATAAACAAACTCGTTCTGCCTAGGGCTTATAGGAACCTTGATACCAATTTTGGTTATCCTAGCTCTTGTACTTACTGAGATCCTTGCGCTCATACAGACAGACGGACAGACGGACATGGCTATATCGACTCGTCTTCTCATCCTGATCAAGAATATATACACTTTGTGGTGTCTGCCACGCCTCCTTCTGTGTGTTACATACATGCGCACAAAACTAGTATAGCCTTTCACCCTTTGGGTAGAGGCTATAAAAATGTAGGAGTTTTGGAAAATAGCGAGGGAGTGGGTGGTGGCCTTTCTCTGACTTAGGAGAATCGAGATACCAAGTTTGGTTGTCTTTTATCTCTAATACTTTTTAGATACTTCTGTTTATACAGACAGACAGACGAACGAAAACATATGTATATATACACTGTAGGGCGGCCACACCCACTTCTGGGTGTTACATGGATTCGCGCTGAACGAGTATAGCATTTTATTCTTTGCATACAAGTTATAAATATTTTTATAGCCTGTACCCAAAGGGTGAAAGGCTATACTAGTTTTGTGCGAATGTATGTAACAGGCAAAAGGAGGGGTGGCAGACCCCACAAAGTATATATATTCTTGATCAGGATGACAAGTCGAGTCGATCTAGCCCTGTCTGTCTGTCTGTCCGTCTGTCCGTACATATGAACACCTGGATCTCAGAGACTATAAGAGCTAGAGACACAAAATTTTGTACAAAGATGCCTTATGTGTGTACGCTATACGAGTTTGTTTTGTTTTTTTGATTTTCCCCCCCACTTCCCCCTTATGGGGATTTTCCCGATTTTCCATTCGTATAATCGCCTATATCTTGGAGACTATAAGACCTAGGAACACCAAATTTTAGTCCAAGATGCCTTGTGTGAATACACAGAAAATGTATATTTTGGAATTTCCCTCCCTCCCCCTCTCCCTCGCAATTGCGATTTTCTCTAACTCCCGTAATTCTTGGAATTTCGAATTAAAATTTTGGAAATACCCCCAGTTAGTTATTATGTGTCCGTATGCCGTAAATACATTTGCTGCTGCAGCGCTGCTCAAGCGCTGCCCAAGCGATGCCCGCGGCTGTTGATGCTGGTGCTTTGGTTGACTGCACATACATATGTTTACACAGACATAGACATAGGCATACATACACTCACACAGACGCAATTACTATGTAAATGTTCAATTATACACCCTTTACGTGAGTTCGAATACCAAAAGAGGTAAAATATATCAATTTTTTTTTTTATTTTCCTAATTTTTTTATATTTTTTTTATTTCGGGACACCCGACTTTAGCTTTTTTACTTGTTTTATTTTCGCCCTCGCGTCGCCCTTATGGGAGCTTTCCCGATCTTCCCGATCACCTACATATCGGAGAATATAAGACATACGGACACAAAATTTTAGTACGAGATGACTTATGAGAATACACAGAAAATGTGATTTTGGAATTTCGCTGCCTCCCCCCTCTCTACCGCAATTAGTGATCTTTCAGATACGAATAAACGCGCAGAGACGTGCATACACTCACGCAGACGTAATTGCTATGTAAATGTGCAATTATACACCCGTTACGTGAGCTCGAATACCGAGAGAGGTAAAACCGATCATCATTTTTTTTAATTTTCTTAATTTTATTTATTTTTATTGTTTGGCCGGCTCGAGGTCAGAGTAAGAAAAACCAATTTATTTAATTTTCTTTTCTTTTTCCGATATATTTCGGTTACGCCACGGTAACCGTCTTCAGGGCAACTACAAAACATATAACATAATTAACATATTAAAACTATAACACAAAAATTTTTTATATAATTACTTATTTAAGCAAGTCTGCTCTGTTTGACTTGGAGTTACTAACTAACAGGTGTCTGTAAATATGCGCGCAATTTTCGGTGTCTGCTTTGTAGTTAATTCTGTATTTGTTAGGTGTGTTGATAATGTGTAGCGTTTCGAGAGTGAATCGCTTACTGTAGTGTCGTTCTTGTTGAAGTACTTTCGTTTCTTCAAAGTTGGGGGTGTGTCCAGTCTCTATGCAGTGGGTTGTTAGAGCAGTTTTTTGTGTCAATGTTTGATGCCTTAGTTTGTAGTCTGACTTGTGTTGTGATATCCGTGTTTTTAGTTTCGACTTAGTGGTTCCAATGTAAAATCTCCTACATGGGTTGTCGCTGTCTCCGTCACATGGAATTTTATAGACTACGTTATTCAGGTCCATTTCTGCAATTTTTGCCTTAGTCCTATTAAAAATGTTCCTAAGTGTATTCTCCGGTCTGTGCGCAATTTGTATATCCTCTTTTTGATAGCAGTCTGACTGGGTGAAGCGTTCTGAGAACCCAGATACGTATGTCAGAGATTTGTAGATTTTTGGTGCTCTTGGTTCTTTTTTCTTTGGGTTCTTATGGTTCTTGATTAGGGAATACGTCAATTTGATAGGGAAGTCGTTTTGTGTCAGTATCCGTTTAATTTCTTCCTCTATTTGTTTATGGTAAAATTTGTCACTTGTCTCGAACATCCGTCTTATACAGTTCTTGGCTGTATTTATTATCATATTTTTCGGATGTTTCGAGTGATAGTTAATCAGCCTACCCGATGCCGTCGGTTTCTGGTACCATTTTGTTTTTAGCGTATTCCCACATCTATTTATAGTCAAATCCAAATAATTAAGTTTCTCGTCATTTTCTGTCTCTAATGTAAATTGGATGTCTTTGTGGTATATGTTGAGGGCGTCTAATGTCTTTTGCACCTGTTCCTTGTCAATAATTGCGAACAAGTCGTCAACATATTTGGTCAGGAGTCTTGGTCTATGGATCAATTTCGATGTTGTGTTTTCCAGAAGCTCCTCCATGACTATGTCCGCTATTACAGGGGACGCCGGGGATCCCATCGGTAGTCCCTTAAGTTGTATATACATTCTGTCCGTATACTTAAAATACCTTGTTTCACGGATGCAGAAATGTACGATGTCCATAAACATTCTCTTTGGGATTTTAGTGAAGCTTTCTATCCTGGTCCAGTTTTTACTGATGACATCCATCGCTAAGTCGATTGGGATGCTCGGGAACAGAGACACCACGTCGAACGAAACTAAAATCTCATCGTCTACTATATAAGTGTTGTTGACCTTGTCTTTAAACTCTGAGGAATTTTTAACGTTATATGGTGAGGTATTGGTCAGGTTCTTTAATATCCCAGCGATGTATCTACTAAGTTCGTGACAAGGGGAACCGACTGACGAACAAATCGGTCTCAGGGGTGTTCCTTTTTTGTGTATTTTCGGTAGTCCATAGATCCTGGGTGGTAGTGCAGTGCTTGTAACTAATTTATTCCTTTCAGTCTTTGTGATTATGTTCAATTGGAGTAGTTTGTCAACGAAGTTGTTGTTTTTATTCTGTAGCCTAAGCGTGGGGTCTTGTCTGAGTGTTCTGTATGTGTTTGCGTCTCCTAGTATATCCGTCATTTTGATATTATATTCCTCCTTGTCCATGGCTACCGTCTTATTTCCTTTGTCCGAAGTTAGGCTACAGAATAAAAACAACAACTTCGTTGACAAACTACTCCAATTGAACATAATCACAAAGACTGAAAGGAATAAATTAGTTACAAGCACTGCACTACCACCCAGGATCTATGGACTACCGAAAATACACAAAAAAGGAACACCCCTGAGACCGATTTGTTCGTCAGTCGGTTCCCCTTGTCACGAACTTAGTAGATACATCGCTGGGATATTAAAGAACCTGACCAATACCTCACCATATAACGTTAAAAATTCCTCAGAGTTTAAAGACAAGGTCAACAACACTTATATAGTAGACGATGAGATTTTAGTTTCGTTCGACGTGGTGTCTCTGTTCCCGAGCATCCCAATCGACTTAGCGATGGATGTCATCAGTAAAAACTGGACCAGGATAGAAAGCTTCACTAAAATCCCAAAGAGAATGTTTATGGACATCGTACATTTCTGCATCCGTGAAACAAGGTATTTTAAGTATACGGACAGAATGTATATACAACTTAAGGGACTACCGATGGGATCCCCGGCGTCCCCTGTAATAGCGGACATAGTCATGGAGGAGCTTCTGGAAAACACAACATCGAAATTGATCCATAGACCAAGACTCCTGACCAAATATGTTGACGACTTGTTCGCAATTATTGACAAGGAACAGGTGCAAAAGACATTAGACGCCCTCAACATATACCACAAAGACATCCAATTTACATTAGAGACAGAAAATGACGAGAAACTTAATTATTTGGATTTGACTATAAATAGATGTGGGAATACGCTAAAAACAAAATGGTACCAGAAACCGACGGCATCGGGTAGGCTGATTAACTATCACTCGAAACATCCGAAAAATATGATAATAAATACAGCCAAGAACTGTATAAGACGGATGTTCGAGACAAGTGACAAATTTTACCATAAACAAATAGAGGAAGAAATTAAACGGATACTGACACAAAACGACTTCCCTATCAAATTGACGTATTCCCTAATCAAGAACCATAAGAACCCAAAGAAAAAAGAACCAAGAGCACCAAAAATCTACAAATCTCTGACATACGTATCTGGGTTCTCAGAACGCTTCACCCAGTCAGACTGCTATCAAAAAGAGGATATACAAATTGCGCACAGACCGGAGAATACACTTAGGAACATTTTTAATAGGACTAAGGCAAAAATTGCAGAAATGGACCTGAATAACGTAGTCTATAAAATTCCATGTGACGGAGACAGCGACAACCCATGTAGGAGATTTTACATTGGAACCACTAAGTCGAAACTAAAAACACGGATATCACAACACAAGTCAGACTACAAACTAAGGCATCAAACATTGACACAAAAAACTGCTCTAACAACCCACTGCATAGAGACTGGACACACCCCCAACTTTGAAGAAACGAAAGTACTTCAACAAGAACGACACTACAGTAAGCGATTCACTCTCGAAACGCTACACATTATCAACACACCTAACAAATACAGAATTAACTACAAAGCAGACACCGAAAATTGCGCGCATATTTACAGACACCTGTTAGTTAGTAACTCCAAGTCAAACAGAGCAGACTTGCTTAAATAAGTAATTATATAAAAAATTTTTGTGTTATAGTTTTAATATGTTAATTATGTTATATGTTTTGTAGTTGCCCTGAAGACGGTTACCGTGGCGTAACCGAAATATATCGGAAAAAGAAAAGAAAATTAAATAAATTGGTTTTTCTTACTCTGACCTCGAGCCGGCCAAACAATAAAAATAACTATGAGGAAGGTCACCAAAATACTCAACAATTAATTTTATTTATTTCTATAATTATTCTAAACATATGTACAGGGTATTTCAAAGTCGGGTGTCCCTACTTGTTATAGCTATTCTAAGGCATCTTTATCACTTTTAAATATGTCCAATCACAAGAGCACTTTAAAAAATATGATAAGAAATGATTTTAATTTATTTCAAGTTTTGGCTTGTTCTGGAACAGGTTAAAGACAAGATTTTCGAGGGCTTCAGAACGTACTGATAAGATCTTATTGAAGTATATTAAGTACTTTTAAAAATTTAAATAAGTGTTACTATTTTTAGAAATCTAAATAAGATCCGCCTGTCCCTCCGTATCAACACCAAGAGCTTTTGTACAACTAGCTTATGACTGATCAGAGAGGATATGTTAACCAAATGGGAAATTAATGTTGTTAATACTTGTTTTAGTGTTGTCCTTTTAGACTTGTAGCCCTTTTGGGGTAAGGGTTCATTACGAACAAAGTTAAAAGGAATATATTTAACAAGATAAAATGTACCCTACGAACAGATTCGAAGAGTATGTATATATATAGTACATATATGGATTCTGGTAGCTATACTCTCAGCAGTTTCTGATATTAAGACGTTTATCGAAATGGGAAGAAGCGCGAATATGTGTTCTTCGATATGACTGAACATGCTGATCTATAATAATATACAAGTATTCTATGGTGTGGACGAATATGCTTCCATCTGCCTGTTGCCGAGTACATAAAATGGAAAAAGAGCAATTACCACTTGCATACGAAGTTACAACTTCATCGGAGAATGTTGCACTCATTAAGACATTTGCTTAAGACGGTTAAGCCTAAAATAGTACTCTATTGTATAGTTTTATAATTAGTAAGCAGTTAAGGAAATTAAAATTTCAAATTATCATTTCAATGTTCGTTTTATTTGTGAGTTAAGGTCGATATCAAACAATTTAGAAGCAGCTGTCAATGCTGGGCAGAGAGCCGCTGCAGTAGTGCCAGGTGGACCAGGCGGTCCAGCCCTGCTGGCTGAGGACCTTCTGGGCGCAACGGACGGAGTTGGTGATGTTGTCGGTCAAGAGGGCGTCGCAGCTCATGCTGCACTCGTTGTAGGAGAAGCGGCCGTCGGAAGGCTGGCACCAGTAGTAGTTGTTGATCTGGAAGATACCGTAGTCGTTGGAGCCGTTCGAGTTGGTGGGGCCGACAACACCGGTGCGGTAGGAGCTCTCGTGCTCGGCAATGCAAGTCCAGCGGGCGAGTTGGTCACGGGGGACACCCAAGGCGGACATCTCCTGGGCCAAGGAGCAACGGTCCATGGTGCGACCGAAAGCGGGAGCGGCCAAAGCCAGGGCGACAAGAACGATGAAAGCCTTTGTTGGAGGACAACACAAATTTATAAGCGCTATTTGATATGTAAAGTAACATCACTCACTTTTGTTAAGTAGCCCATCTGGCAACTTTATTTACGTTTGTTTTTTACTTATGTTTTCACTCAACTCTTCTGCGAAAGAGAACAAACGCACTCATAGCGGCATAACGCATTATTAGCTATGCCCTTTTTTGTAACAAAGCACTCGCATTTCGGACTTGCATGGTATCAGTCATTTCGGCACGCACGACACATAACATACAAATATACACACATACACACAATCAACCTTGGCGAACCTTAAATTATTTGGGAAAGGTACAGCAGCGCCAAATCGGCTCAACAAAAAACATATCAAGTGGATCGAAGACCCCTCCGGAGCACGTCTGGAACATTTTGGCGACCATGACAGGACACAGATAAGTCTCGTTCCATTTTTTATGTTAAAATTTGCCGATTTCATGAAATCGTATAGTTGCTATACAGATTACCAAACAATATTGGAACGCCATAGTAATCGTCTGGTTCAGGGCAACGAGCTGCTGGACAGAACATTATCTGTAACTACATATACATAAATCAACTGTAACTAGTGCACAAGGCACTGTGGTCAACTTAGCCGCTGTACCAAGGCCACGCCGTTGGATAGAACAGCAACGGAGACGTCAGCATTTCACCGTTCGACAGTCTACACCCGCCGCTCCGCACATCCCCTCTCAACAACCCACATATTGTTCCCGCCAACGAAACATGTAAGAAGCGCGCTCAAAGAAGAGCACAAAATCAAGCGGTAAATACACACATTTAATACAGTTGCATTCTTAAACTGATGTACAGCCAAATATTGTGGTTGTTGTTGCAAATTTGAACTCGCTAGAAAGATCCGCTAGGCTGTGATTCTTGTTGTTGTGCATTGCTTTTCAGTTCGTTTTAACCAAATTCGCCTAACGCGCTCAGCGCACAGTGGCACAACACTTAGTGAAATTTGTAATAAATTATTTGCATAAGAGATTTAGCTTCAAGTGGCATTAGTGTTGACCTGTTGAGGTTGTGTTACTGCGTTGGTTAAATTTTGCGTGTAATTAATTTAGATAAATAAATTAAAATGAGTCAATCCGACGACGCCGTAATTATGAAAGCTGCGGCCGTCGACGTTAACGATCCCCGTTTGATCAAACTTCGTGTGCAGAGAACTACAATGGAAAGAAACATCGAAAGTTTAAAGTCCAGAATAACCACAACTGGAGCTGGTTCTGAAGTACCAGTTCTTGAGTGCAACCTTCAAATACTGGAGTCCTATTTTCGTCAGATTATGCAGATACAAACACAAATCGAGGACATCCATAACAGGGATACAGGCAGGTCTAGCATTGAAGAACTTTTTATCGCAACAAAGGCAGCAATTGTCACGTTTATCAACGAGAAAAGGCGAACAACTGTTTCTGAGTCGACGTTTCTAAATTCTACATCAAGCATTACTGCTGTCCATCAGAGTAGGCTCCCAAAGATTAAACTTCCAACCTTTGATGGCCAGTATGCTAACTATAAACGATTTATAGCCGCATACAACAACCTTATTGAAAGCGACAGTTCAATCTCGGTAATTGACAAATTTAATTATTTACTAAACTGTTTGTCTGGACCCGCATTAGAAGTCGTGCAGGTATTTCAAGTCTCTGAAGGGAACTATGCCAAGGCGCTAAGTCAACTAAAAAAGAGATATGACAACGATGTACTCATATTCCTTGATTATATATCGAGCTTGTTCAGTCTGCCGAAGATGACCAATCCTGATGCGACGATGCTGCAGAAACTAATTGATTCTGTCTCAGCCATGCGAGCGTCGCTTTTGTCATTAGGTAAAGCTGAGGATGTTATGAATTCAATTATGATTCACATGGTTTTATCCAAAGTCGACGCAGACACCAAGCTTCATTATGACGAGAAGCAGACTTTTGAATCTTTGCCATCTTGGGAAAATTGTTGTACTACATTAACGCACAGATGTAGATTTCTAGAAAGTCGTTCCAAACCCTTAGGGCGACTAGATACGGCAGATGTCAAGCATAAGGCTAAGTTCAGCAATGTATCCAAGACATTCCTCACGAGCAAAGCAACTTGTGTCTTCTGCAGCTCATCAGAGCACTACATTTCGTCTTGTCCTGCATTCACTGCGTTACTTTTGGGACAACGAAAAGAATGGGTAAAAAGGAATCAACTTTGTTTTAATTGCCTTCGTAAAAACCACAACCAAAAGCAGTGTCAGTCAAAGTCACGCTGCAAAGTGTGCCATTCACCGCATCATTCACTATTGCACAACTTCGCGGAAGTTGAGCAAAGGTCGCAAGGACCAACTCTTACAGCCAGCGCTAATCCGAATAGCGGGCTTATGCCGTCATCATTTACGACGCCATCGTTTATGCCGTCTTCATCGGCCCAACAAGGAAATGTATCGTTAGTAGTTCGAGCGTCTACTAGAGGCATTCTCCCAACTGCAATAATACAAATCAAGAGCAAATGCGGTGACTATCACATAGTACGCGCTTTGCTAGATTCATGCTCAGAAATAAGTTTCATGACTGAAGAAACTGCTAAACGGCTCAAGTTAGAGAAATGTCGAGTCTCAAGCTCAGTATGCGGTATTTCGGAAGTTCCTCAAAGGATCAATTTCACAGTTCAAACAACATTGAAATCGCGTATATCGGATTTCGAATGGCCATCAACGTTTGCTGTTATAAAGTCCATTTGCAGTAACCAGCCAAATCGCAATTTGGAAATATCAAAATGGCAGTTTCCACCCCACGTCGAGTTAGCCGATCCTTATTTCTACGAAACGAATAAGATCGACGTTCTCATAAACACGGAAGGTTTCTTCGATGCTGTTCGCGAAGGAAAAATATCGCTAGGCAACAGCATGCCATGTTTATTAAACACTGCATACGGTTGGATAGTAGGCGGTCAAGGCATTCAGCCGAGGAACCAAAACTATTCATGTTACGTCGTAAAGGAAGAGCCAGCGCTAGATAAAATTGTTCAACAGTTTTGGAATGTCGAGGAGTATACGAGCTCACCAGCCAAATTCACTGATGAAGAACAAAAATGTGAAAATCACTTTGTCAAAACCGTATCAGCTCTTAGCGATGGCCGCATCAGTGTACGTCTTCCATTCCGAATCGAATCGTTTGATCTTGGTCAGTCATACGATATCGCACGCAAGCGTTTTAATTTTCTCGAACGAAAACTTGAGCGCGATGCAAAACTCAAGCAGGCATATGCTGATTTTATGCAAGAGTACGAGGATCTAGGTCATATGACACTCATCCCTGACTTTGATCGTACTAAACAACACTTTTTCATCCCACACCATTGTGTATTACGGCCAGACAGTTTGACAACAAAACTGCGAGTCGTATTCGATGGGTCAGCAAAGACGAACTTAGGAATATCGCTAAACGATTGCCTAATGACTGGACCAACAATACAACAAGATCTTATAACATCACTTCTTGCTTTTCGCTTGCACAAATACGCTCTGTCAGGAGATATTACGAAAATGTATCGCCAGTTCGTCATCGACCCACGCGACAGGCAATTTCAAATGATATTGTGGAGATCAAATCAAGAAGACGACTTACGAGTCTATCAGCTCAATACTGTGACATACGGTCTATCATCCGCGCCATTTCTTGCCATAAGGTGTTTATTTCATTTAGCTGATCTATTTGATTCAGAGTTTCCAATAGGTGCGGCAGTATTGCGATCTGACTTTTATGTTGACGACTTACTTACAGGAGCCGACAAATTAGAAGAAGTTAAATGAAAAAAGGATGAACTGACTGCAATTCTGAACAATGCCGGATTGCAAATGACAAAATTCACTAGCAACTCGTGCGAGCTCATCAACGACCAGCAAATGGATCAGGAGATTTCCATCGATCACCATGATGACAACATTGTAACCAAGACGCTCGGATTAGCGTGGGAGCCGAGCCATGACTGCTTTGTTTTTCAACACAAGGTGCAACATGATGGCATTGCTACACGCCGCACAGTTCTGTCAACCATAGCAAGGATTTTTGATGTTCTAGGCCTAATGGGGCCAATAGTAATACGCTGCAAAATCTTTCTTCAAGACTTGGTCATTCGGAAATTCGACTGGGATGACCCACTTCCTGCAAGGTTTGTCGAGATGTGGAACGAACTTAAGATTGACTTAGAAAACAGCTCAAGTCTCAAAATTCCACGATACGTAAGCACATCGCCATTAGCCAGAAGTGAGATACACGGATTTGCAGACGCTTCTGAACGTGCTTACGGCTGCTGCATTTACATACGCACAAGGATTGGCACAGACACTAAAGTGCATTTGGTTATAGCCAAATCAAAGGTGGCGCCAATTAAGGTTCAAACACTACCGAAGCTGGAACTATGTGCTGCAGTTCTGCTCAATAGAACTTTTCGCAAATTTCAAAGTAAACTGGACCAATACATCAACAATATTTATTTTTGGACTGACTCAAAAATTGTGCTGCAGTGGATTGGCATGCATTCGTCTCAACTAAACTGCTTCGTAGCAAATAGAATTGCTGAGTTACAGGCGCATTCTGGAGACGTAAAATGGAGGCACGTGCCTTCTGCTAAAAATCCTGCTGATATAATTTCAAGGGGATGCACAATTGAGGAACTGAAAACCAACATGTGGTTTACCGGCCCTGACTTTTTGAAGAAAGAGGAAATTAACTGGCCACAACTTAAGGAGCCATTGCCTGCACCTACAGAAGTGCGCAAACGAGCTGCACTGATCTGCATAGAAGAGTGGCAGCCTACAACTTCAATCATTGACACTGTCATCGAACGCTCATCGTCATACATCCGAATACTAAGAATCATGTCTTATGTATTTCGCGTATTCAACAGAGTTTCCGCTAATCGCCACTTAAGGGTTAAAGATATCTCGCAAATACAATCCTCAGAATTATGTGTAACGTTCTGGCGCATTGTAGCGCACATACAACAGTCAGCCTATCGTGATGAGATTCTTCTATTAGCGAAAAATAAACAATTAAAGCCAAGCTTGCAAAGCCTTGCACCCTTTTTATGTTCAATGCAACTAGGAGAATTGTGTGTAGATGTTGTGAGAGTTGGCGGAAGGTTAGCTAAGGCCGAAATTCCCTATGATGCTAAGTTCCAAGCTATTTTGCCTCGAGACCATCGTTTCAGTCGCTTATACGTAGAGTATTTACATCGTCAAAATTTACATGCTGGGCCGAAAGTACTTGTTTCTCTCTTACGAGAAAAGGTATGGATCGTAAACGCCAGATTGTTAGCTCGACAGGTTGTACGAGCATGCACACACTGTTTCAAGTACAAACCTCGTCTCATGCAGCAAGTAATGGGAAATCTCCCTGCAGATCGCTTGCGAGCTTGTCGCCCCTTTATGATCACGGGCGTAGATTTCTGCGGACCGTTTATGACGTCGTATCGAATACGTGGAAGGGCGCCATACAAGTCCTACGCAGCAGTATTTGTTTGTTTCGCTTCGAAAGCGATTCATATCGAGTTGGTCAGCGAACTCTCAACTAACGCATTTCTATTTTGTATTCGAAGATTTATTTCACGCCGTGGACTGCCTGAACGCATTTACTGTGATAATGCGACAAATTTTGTTGGCGCTGCAGCAAAATTAGCTGATTTTAAGAAAGACGCTCTTAACTCAGAGGCAACCCACAGCATCAACGAATTTACTTCCTGTAAAGGCTTTGAGTTTCGCTTCATACCGCCGCGGGCTCCACACTTTGGCGGCTTGTGGGAAGCAGCAGTAAAATCAGCAAAGTCTCTTTTGATAAAGAACGTCGCAGAGGCCAACCTCACTTTCGAAGAGCTGCAAACGCTGTTTACTGAAGTGGAGGCTATTTTGAATTCACGACCAATTGCCCCAGTGTCAGATGATCCAAATGATGGCGACGTACTCACACCAGGCCATCTCCTTATTGGTACATCACTGGTATCCGCACCAGAGCAGATCCTCTTCAATCAGGAGGACACTACCAATCTACGCTACTTAGACCGCTGGCAAAAGGTGACCTTTCTAAAGCAGCAATTCTGGGACAGATGGCATCGTGACTACATTCACACGCTGCAAAGGAAAACGAAATGGACCTGTGCGCAGCCAAACATTCAACAGGGACAACTGGTTCTTGTACATGAAGACAACGTACCCCCGCAAACATGGAAGCTGGCACGCGTAACTTCGGCTATTCCTGGAGAGGACGGCAAGGTTCGAGTGGTTGACCTGAAAACCAGCAAAGGAGCCTTTCGTCGACCTATTCACAAGATCGCACCGTTACCGAATTCTCACTTTTGAAAGTAGATCCTTTCAAGGGGGGAGGATGTTGGAGGACAACACAAATTTATAAGCGCTATTTGATATGTAAAGTAACATCACTCACTTTTGTTAAGTAGCCCATCTGGCAACTTTATTTACGTTTGTTTTTTACTTATGTTTTCACTCAACTCTTCTGCGAAAGAGAACAAACGCACTCATAGCGGCATAACGCATTATTAGCTATGCCCTTTTTTGTAACAAAGCACTCGCATTTCGGACTTGCATGGTATCAGTCATTTCGGCACGCACGACACATAACATACAAATATACACACATACACACAATCAACCTTGGCGAACCTTAAATTATTTGGGAAAGGTACAGCAGCGCCAAATCGGCTCAACAAAAAACATATCAAGTGGATCGAAGACCCCTCCGGAGCACGTCTGGAACAGCCTTCATGGTAGTTAGTTCGGATTACTTTAGGAGTAAACTGATGACAGGAACCCCAGCTTTTCCTCTTTTATAGCAAGTCGCTTCGCCACTTATCTAGATTTTAAGTGCAGCAATCGAAAATGACGCGTGTCGTAAGGGACTTAATTCTTAAGGGTATGTAACTGATAAAGTTTAGGAATAATGAACAAGTTGAGGCTAAAGGCTGTAATAGTTATCATAATGTAACGCCCTGGCGACCGTCACAAGGTGTCGTCACTAGAGAAGGACGGCGAGGCAATAGATGTATGTATAGACGTAAGGGAATGAGGTTAAAAATGGAGTTGAGTTTGAGTTTGTCCACGAAGGCGTGCTGTCCGACTGCGTAGAGTTTAAGTTACTTTCGCTTTATGTACTTCCACTTAACCTCCTTATTTTTCTGCCATACGCCCTGAAGGCGACATACGCGAAATAAAAGTCATCAGATCAACCATCGGCGCACTTTATTTTGGGGAACCAAATAACAAATTTTGGAAGCGACTCTGACCGGCGAGTACCCGGGCCAGACATCCGTGACAACAACAACAGCATGCAAGAATTAGAAGAGATGGTATAATAAGCAAACCTATCTAGCCATTACTATATGTGTGTTCATGTGCAGTACAGACTTGAGCCAAAACAGTAGCAAAATCAAAAGACGGGACCCGGACTGATGAATCCTAAGCGAAAGTAATTATCAAATTTGAGGAGGACTTTTGGAAAATGACTGATAGCGATGGAGTAGGTGGTGTTTCATACATTTACATATTTTTAATTTAAATTATGTAGGTGTTCGAACAGTGTATTAATGACTCGACTTTCATTCACGTCGAAGATCTTGGGGTACTTTGTAATACCAAAATCCAAGTTCAATCTTCTCATCTTAAGGAACGAGTTATATACCGGTACTTCGTGTGCAGACAGCAACTTCATTACAAATCATACATAGCCTCAATAATTTGTATAGGTTATGCAACAGAATCTAATTCGAGTATTCATGTTGATTCACTAAATCAACCAGTTTATTAGTTTATTGTATTTAGTTGAACAAGGAAGAGGGCCAGATTTAGGGTATACAAGAGTCAGGCTCCTGTAACTTTAGAGTTCTAGTCGCTTTTTATCTACATTACAAGAATCTTAACCAAATCAAGAGCGATATAATTAGTTATAGAACATTTTTTATAATAATTGAAGAAAAAACGTAACCCTATGGATTAGGGTTCTATATATGAATTATGGTGGTTAGCCTTTTACGGCCGTTTCTGAAATATAGCAGTTCATCCAAACGGACGGACGAATACGCGTTGTTCGCTTTGTCGCGTAATGCTGATCAAACAACTGCAAACGATTGCACGACCCATATACTCGTATACTATATAGTCATTTGCCCTAACGCTGTACGAAGTTTGCAGATCATTCGTTCCATTGGGGTGCTAAGCCTTAGGATAACATTTTCAGTATTGTTTCGTTTCAACTTAATAATTTGCGAAATTAAAAAATCAAATTAGAATTTCAATGTACGGTTTATTTGTGAGTTAAGGTCGATATCAAATATTTAGAAGCAGCTGTCAATGCTGGGCAGAGAGCCGCTGCAGTAGTGCCAGGTGGACCAGGCGGTCCAGCCCTGCTGGCCCTGGATCTTCTGGGCGCAACGAACAGAGTTGGTGATGTCGTCGGTCAAGAGGGCGTTGCAGCTCAGGCTGCACTCGTTGTAGGAGAAGCGGCCGTCGGCAGGCTGGCACCAGTAGTAGTTGTTGATCTGGAAGATACCGTAGTCGTTGGAGCCGTTTGAGTTGGTGGGGCCGACAACACCGGTGCGGTAGGAGCTCTCGTGCTCGGCAATGCAAGTCCAGCGGGCGAGCTGGTCGCGGGGGACACCCAGGGCGGACATCTCCTTGGCCAAGGAGCAACGGTCCATGGTGCGACCGAAAGCGGGAGCGGCCAAAGCCAGGGCGACAAGAACGATGAAAGCCTTCATGTTTAGAATTTTCAGACAACTGATGGCTTTCTGCTGAAAACCGTCCGCTTTTATAGGAACCGGCATGGGACGATTAACTTATCAATTTTGGGCATTATCAAAAATTGGTAATGAATTTCTAGTACTAGCTTCCGTAAACTTCACTTATCATACGAGTGTGTATGTGTAGTGCGCAAGTAGGAGATCATCTTGCCTGATATAACATTAAAAACATAAAACATTCATCATCATACGAATTGGTTAATTTTTAAAAAGGAAGACCTTCGAAAGTCCCCTTCTCAAGCTTCAACTCATTAGAAATGTAACTTAAGCTTTTTACTATGAAAATGTGCGGTATATCTGTTGAACCAGATATTTCCAACATTTAAGCTATATAACGAAATCTTAAGGTTTCAGGAATGTGCACCATTAAGGTGATTCGAAACATACCACACCATCCTTGGAATGTAGACTCGCGAACTCCTAGAATGCCTAGAAGCATAGTTTAAATAATTAAAAAGTGGATAGCAAATAGCTTAGCCTCAACAGCTTAAAGAGCAACAAGAAAATGGCTAGAAAACTCGCTTCAAAATACAAGTACATAGAAAAACACTAGAAAATTGATATAAATATCAAGAACATTTGCTGGAAAATGACTAGAAACGCCGCTACAAATATCTAAAAATAGCTAGAACTAATATTAATAGCTAGAAGAATAATAAAATAAAATACAAGATGCCTATAAATAAGGGGTGTTACAGATTTCTTAAGATTTCTTACGTAAATTTAATTAATACTCAGTTTATTGGTACTTCAAAAATAAGTTTTATTTTTACTTTCGTTCAATTCAAGAAATAGGATTCAACTCAGAAAAGTAAAAAGTTTCAAATATTTAATGTTGAATTAGGATCAACTTGGTATTTTTATTGTCGGGTTGTTTTCGTTCCTGTGTGTGGATGCTAGGTTTTCAACTAAAGATCTAGTAATAAGTTGAAAAGGCGAAATATAAAATATTTTTCATGCAGATTGTTGAGCAAAACAATTTTATTTATATTTCTATGACTGTTTTTATGTCGCAAAACTTCTTTGTGTTCTTTCTGACAAAATTTCTTGACAAATGCTGAGATATTTGAAAGCAACCGAAAAAGATTTCTGTGACCGCAAGAATTGGGTTTCGGTTGAAATTTCCTTAAAAGAGATTTCTACGTCATCCTTGAACATCAACGTTAGATTAACAAATTAAAAAATCAATTTAGGATTTTAATATACGTTTTATTTGTGTGTTAAGGTCGATATCAAAGAATTTAGAAGCAGCTGTCAATGCTGGGCAGAGAGCCGCTGCAGTAGTGCCAGGTGGACCAGGCGGTCCAGCCCTGCTGGCCCTGGATCTTCTGGGCGCAACGAACAGAGTTGGTGATGTCGTCGGTCAAGAGGGCGTTGCAGCTCAGGCTGCACTCGTTGTAGGAGAAGCGGCCGTCGGCAGGCTGGCACCAGTAGTAGTTGTTGATCTGGAAGATACCGTAGTCGTTGGAGCCGTTCGAGTTGGTGGGACCCACAACACCGGTGCGGTAGGAGCTCTCGTGCTCGGCAATGCAAGTCCAGCGGGCGAGCTGGTCACGGGGAACACCCAGGGCGGACATCTCCTTGGCCAAGGAGCAACGGTCCATGGTGCGACCGAAAGCGGGAGCGGCCAAAGCCAGGGCGACAAGAACGATGAAAGCCTTCATGTTTAGAATTTTTAGACAACTGGTGGCTTTCTGCTAAAAACCGTCCGCTTTTATAGGAACCGGCATGGGACGATTAACTTATCAATTTTGGGCATTATCAAAAAATGGTAATGAATTTCTACTGCTATCTTTCGTGAACTTCACTTATCATACGAGTATGTATGTACGAGTGCGCAAGTAGGAGATCATCTTGCCTGATATAACATAAGGTCGCCACCATACTATCAAACATGACAAAACATTCATCATCATGCAAATTGGTTAATTTTTAAAAAGGAAGAGCTCCTATCTCCCTCTCAAGCTTCAACTCGCATTTGGTTACAACAACCTCCACAAATTAGAATTGTTCCAACCATTACAAATGTGTTTTAAGCTTTTCGCATTAAGCTTTTCACATTAATATTTCATGCACCATATATCCAACATTTTAAAACTACATAATTGGAATGTCCAACTTTAGGGTAGTTCGAGGCATACCATCCCACCCTTGATATGTAGAATCGTATTCTCCATACACAGACCAAGATTATTACTAATCATATAAAGCTTCTATAATTAGTATACCTTCCATATTACTCATCAGAGGAAAAGTCACTCAGAGTGGAATAACTTGTGATATACAAAGATAACTTAACCAAGATTAAAATCCATGTCCAATTTGAAGTCTCATCAAAACCGATACGTTCAGGGCGAAACTCAATAGAAGTAAAAGTCAATGGTTATATTAGTATGATTTAATTTGAGTTACTATAATTTAATTTAATTAAAGGCTAAAAGGGTATACTAGCTTAGTGCGAATGTAAAATCCAGACCCCACAAAGTATAAATATTGTTGATTAGCACGACAAGACGAGTCGATGTAGACCTGTCTGCCTATCTGTCCGTCTATCCGTCCATATGAACACCTGGATCTCAGAGACTATAAGAGCTACAGACATTAAATTTTGCACAAAGATGTCGTATGTGTGTACGCTGTGGAAGTTTGTTTTATTTTTTTGTATAAATCTCATGACAAAAGCTGAGATATTTAAAAACAGCTCAACGATATTTATGTGACCCTGAGATATGGTTTTCGGTTGAAGTTTGTTTCAAACAATTTCTGCGTCACACTTGAAAATCGAGGTGTTCATCTAAACGTGAGTTGAACATATTTAAAAATCAATTTAATATTTTAATATACGGTTTATTGTGTGTTAAGGTCGATATCAAAGAATTTAGAAGCAGCTGTCAATGCTGGGCAGAGAGCCGCTGCAGTAGTGCCAGGTGGACCAGGCGGTCCAGCCCTGCTGGCCCTGGATCTTCTGGGCGCAACGAACAGAGTTGGTGATGTCGTCGGTCAAGAGGGCGTTGCAGCTCAGGCTGCACTCGTTGTAGGAGAAGCGGCCGTCGGCAGGCTGGC